ATCCAAATATGCCACCAAAGATCTAAATGTATCTCTAGTTTCCAGAATTATGTGATATAGCAAGGTATTCAAAAATACTATTGAGAAAATTGACAAGTAATAAATATAATGATGAATGTAACTTTGTTGATAATGCCCTAACAGACTTGTGATTCGTATTATGTTGTTCATTACAGATTCACTTCTGGTCATTTAAATTACAGAAGGGGCAGAAATGCAGTCCCAAAGGACCCCAGTCCAGATATACTACACACACAACTCCAAGTTATCCTGGGCTTGGTGACACAAGAGTGAGAAGAAATTTTTCCCCTAAGTCTGATCACCTTCATCTACATCACTGTCTGTTTCTGTAACTGACTGGTTTGCTTTTATTTGGTTATTTTGGCACACCAGCTCCTACATGATCACATGCTATATCTACTCCGTTCTTAGTTTACATTCCACAGAACAGATGACAGGTAACAAATACAAGACAGTAAAACTAATGACAACGATTACTGCTTATTCAGGTGGCCTGTGTGGGAAGTGGAAATTGTGGGTTCAACAGGATCCAGGCACAGGTGGACTGGAAATGGGCACAGATTACTGGAATGTCTTGTCAGTTTTTCATTGTATTCATATGAGTAAGATCTGTGAGTATTTTGAAACTTGATTTGGGAAGAGACAAAGGAGAAGTAAGTAGTAAGGAACATTTTCTCTCACTGAGGTGATAAGGACACTAGCATGCCTAGGCTCTTCATGGGGCATCAGACAATCTAAAGCTTGCCCCAAGAAGTATTATTGATTTATTTTTGCCATTCAATATTCAATAACCATTTATTACAGCTCTGGTGGCTCAGTGCCTAAGGCATTTGACTGCTAACCAGAAGGTTGACAGTTCAAAACCAGCAGCTGCTCCCTGGAAGGAAGATGGGGCAATCTACTTCCATAGTGATACCGCCTCAGAAACCCAAGTAGGGGTCCCTGTGAGTCGGATCCGACTCTATGGCAGTGAGTTTGGTTTGTTTTGGTTTAGTATATGCCAGGACTCTTCTAAATTCTGGAAATAGAAAAGTAAATACTACACAATCCTAAACATACATGAGTAGGTATAATGATG